TCCGGCCCTTCTTGTAGGTGGGTGTCACACTGGTAAGCCTCCAGTCGTCCGGGACCTCCCCTGTTAACCAGGACTGCTGGTAAGTGATGGAGAGTGGCGTGACAATCCCCTCCGCCAGCTCCCTCCGTACCCTCGGGTGGATCCCATTCGGCCCCATAGACTTGTGAGAGTCCAAGTGACGTAGCAGGTCGTTAAATGCTTCCTCTTGGATTATGGCGGGGTTCGTCCTGCTAGCCGTCCCTACCAAAGCTGTTCCCTGCCACAGTGCTGATGAGGATTCCAGGAAAACAGCAGTTTTCCATGACTCTCTGGAAGCATTTCAAATATATTGACATATTAGCTTTCAAAATGAAAAAAGTGGTATTACAGCATACTGTCCCTGCTTTCAAACATCTCATGGGCTCTGACAAAATGCCTGATCTACAGCTTACGAAAGCCAACAAGAATCTCTCATTTTTAGACACTGTTCCTAGTCACACAATTATGGACTGGAAAAAACAGCTCTAAAATGACAGACAAGAAACAACAGTAGTATAAACAAGACACAAACCTCTCCTCTCTGTTTGGATGACAAAAGCTTACAGAATTTCTGCCCAGTATTTTGAGAAATACTAGGGCATGAACAGATAAGTCAGAAGTGCTTGACAGATGGTCTACAAACACACCATAAATCTGACATGTTTAAGCCATATTGGATTTACTGTAGATGTACAAAGCACCCATGCAGAGCATGGTAAGAAATGCCAGTTCTTCCACGAAGCAACTGACTCCTTGCATGTGTGATTTATGATTTGTCTTCACAAATAAAGTGGTTGCACCCAGAGTGACATTCTGACCAGGCTGTCAGGCTTCTGAAATTCCCAAACATCCAAGGTCCTAATGTCCCACTCAGAGTAAAAAGGAAAAAAAACAAACAAAAACCCAAACCAAAAACCAAACAAAAAAAAAAAACCCCACCCAAAAAACCAACCAGGCACAAAAGGAGACTCTGACGAAGGCAGATCTGTGTGTATGTGTTTCTCAAACTTCTTGAAATTGCAGCACCTTTTATGCGTCTGTCTTTATGCAAATCTGACTATCCTAATTATTTTTATTAGAAATAAGACAAAACAAATCATGCTTACTCTCTTATGTTTACTCTTCTTTTTATAATTCACATAACTAATTTTATGAATAATATTTTGTGTGTGTGACCTCCTACAAACTTTCCCATTACTTCCTTAGGAACTGCAGCACATAGTTGGGAGACATTGACCCAGAGCAAAGGTAGCAGCCAGCAGTTAAGTGACACCGTCAGGTCAAGAGGCAAGATACTACGCCTCCTTTTGCCGCCAGTTTTGCAGTACTAGAAAAGAGAGAGAGCCCTATCTTCTGGTGAGTCTAGGTATTGCGCAAGCATATATCAGTAGGTAGCTGCCACACTCAAGGATACATAAATGAAACATTCAAGTTTCATTCCCATTAGCAACTCAGTTTATACAGTTGGCTTCCAAACTCCCAGGGAATTATGATTTTCCAGTTGTTGTCATGTATGTTTCAGTAAAAAAGTAATGGTACTATAACATCAAGGACATTTACCACTTACAGTTTAATCCATTGATTTTTCTGGGAAGTACAGTATAATAAAATTACCTGTAAGAGTCAGTCCAACAGCATCACAGGCTAATTTAAAAAGCAGCCTTTACTGTAACTACACAGTATACTCAAACCTCACACACAAGCTGCCAAAGACAGCTTCACAAAAACAAAGTTTAAAGATTACGGCCATAAACGTGTAAGTTACCTGATGGAAAGAAGTAACCTTTAGAGAACAATAGTTGCATTCATTCTGTGAACAAAATTCAGAGGTTCCAAAAAGGGCCCAAAACCCTAAATTGGATTCGAGTCTTGGACTTTGCTTCATAGATCAAAAGCTCGATTCAGCTCTTTCCGTTGTTTTACATTCTATTGCCTTTACCCAAGAAGAGACAATTTCCCATCTCAGAAATGGAGCACAAATATTTGTGTTTTATCAGTTCTTGGAAAAAATTTTAGACTCAGCCATTCTTATATAGGGTTTCCGTACTTACCACTGCTCCACCACTTCTTGCCATTGATCACATAACTGCTTCCATCTCGCTCAATGCTGCATTGCATATTGGTGGCATCACTTGAAGCCACATCAGGCTCTGTGTTAAAGAAAAAAACCAAAACAAACCACTGGATTAAATATACAGGTAGTACTCCCACCACAAATATAGGGATCTAGATATACTGTATCGACAGTAACACTGTTTTGCTCCCAGTAGAAAAGCTGTTTTCAGAACCTCGCTCTGCTGGTGGTCAAAGGTTTTCTATTTTCTAACAACCTGTTATTCATAGCCAGTTTAAACTTACTTCTTCCTGGGCTCAGACTACTCTTTACAGTCAACAGCCTTCTTCCTTCCCTCATGTTTTTAAGTCCTTCCCCATTCCAATGTACTTATAGATAACAGTCATATTTCTCCTCAGCCTATTTTTCCCCTAGGCTCTTCTCAAGTGAAAATAAAGAGATTTAAACTACTTTTGTGAGGGTTTATGAAATAGGTTACACAAAGCAGTTGCCAGCAAAATGTCATCAATTATTGTTCGGAAAGATTCTTCCTCTCTCCTTTCATCCTTAACTCCTTTTATAGGCCACCTTCTTTAAAGCAAAAGCACCTCTTTCCTCTTGGTGAACACAGAATTTGCTGTGTCCAGCTCTGCAAGGCTGAGTTCTCTCAACTCCTACTGACACAGAAAGATCAAGATTTTGACATCACATGTTGAAAAGCTACCTTCCTAAATTAACACCCAGGCCTTCCACAGATGCTGAATGCTACAAGCTTTCAAGAGCAAAAATGAATATAACGCTGAGCTACAGACATAAAGCAAGTGCATCATATGTTTTCCAAGTTATCTTCAGGCTATGTCTTAAAACCTCTATGAATGACATACTGCAAAACTACACAACTTTAATCACAATAATCATACTTGTACCTACATGTATATTTCTAGAGAACCCCAAAGCACATTATAAAAAAGGGTAAGTTCTAAGGATAAGTTATAAATCTGTTTGGTACAATAAAATGTATTTTACTAGTACTAAAAATAAACTGAAAATATACGGAAAGCAAATACTAATTATTGTAACCAGGAAAAATGGTAACTATCAGGGAAGGGCAGCAAAGATGCTTCACTTTGCACTCACAACTCATACATGATTTCATATTCAAACATATTCACAGATACAGTGGAAATTTCTGTATTAATTCATTACAACACATAATAACTTCATAACACATAACAACTTGCAGTTTTGTACTTTTTGCATATGCCATGTGCAATTTCTGCCAATTGCCTCTAACTCTCCTCTGGAGAAAAATTTACCTGTCATGCAGAAGCAAGAACTAATCTTCCCTTCTAGGAGAGGCTCCAGCCACTTTTTCTTTTGCTCTTCAGTCCCATACATGTGCAGGACCTCCATGTTTCCAGTGTCTGTAAGAAATCAGCAGTCATGTTTGCTTCTTGAGACACACAACTGGTAAAGTGTAAGATGCCCGACTTTTCAATGCTCTCAGTGCTGTAGTTACAGGACAGGGTTGTCTAACCTGGTGCATGACAGTTGAAAACCTCAGGAGCAAAGAAGCATTTCCCTGTCTCCTCAGCTATTAGCGCGTAGTCAAGCTGGCTGAGACCACTGACATCTGGGAGAAAAAGGTTCCACAGACCTTCCGCTTTGGCCATTTCCTGTTGAAAGAATCAACAGAGAAAAACATTAGCAATAAATCTTAAAAAAAAAAAAAAAAAAAAAAAATCTGGCTTGCTGCCCATTTCCTTCCTCCCTGCCCAAATACTGACCGATATATCTGATGCCTTTTTTCAATAGCTATTTTCAATAGGTACAGTCTTTGACTTAAAGTTCAGACATACTCCTCACAGAACTCACTTTCGCTTTTCTTCTCTGTCATTTGTATCTCTCACCTTCTTCCTTTCCTTACACTGTTCCTCACGCTGTTTCTTTCCATGCAGAGTAACTTCTCCAGCAGCACACACCAAACTTTCTTACGTTCCATGTCAGTGCCTGTTTCTTTTACTGCTAGAGTGCTCAAGAATATTTATTATCCCATACCTTCAGTCTCTCAAGCAGTGGTGGTTTGTTCCATTTTTCCTCAGTATTTCCATGTCCAGCATAGTATTTTATTATTTCCTTAGAGAAACAATTAAAAAGATGCTTGTTTAAATTAAGAACACACATAACACACCCAAGTAATAATATGGTGCTTTTCCAGCCCTATACCCCAAGAAACCAATAAAAAAATATTCAACACAGATTTTTATTATATAGTTGGTTGCATTATAAAATTAAAAGCATAATTCAAAATCAAACTGCAACCTATTCATTTTGCAAGACTTTAAATGCGTCATGGAGATGACCCCAATCAGTACCTTATTTCATTCAGGGAAATGGTTTGGGGTGGTTTAAAATATGTGATGGTAGATGTAACTGTTACCAACAGTATGCACAAGAGGTATAAACCCAAAAGTAAAACAACAAATAAAAGCCAGATGTACTGACGCTTGAAATGCAGGTTTCCCATCACAACGTTCAGATACATAAGCCAGTTAATCTTTTTTTTTAACTGAGAAAAAACATAAAGAATACATTTTTTTCCTGTCAAAGTAATTCCTTAAAAGATTATGTAAACAATCATGCCAAGCACCAGTGATTAGTACTAAGTAAAACTGTGTATTCAGTAATCCTAGTATTTTCACAAGTATGTTTTAGTGGGGCCCAGCACTCCATCAAAGCTGGCCCAGAACTAGTTTTAGAATGAATAAAAGTAGTGCCCTCTTCTGAAAATCACACAATAAGACAAATTCTGAAGTAGAATTTACAAGTCCTGATTCACAATCCCTGTTATGAGAAATAACTTACAAGCACAACGCTACTCATCTGCAAAACTTGCATGGCTATTTGTGGTTCATTTGTTTTTAAAGCAAGTACATTAGTTATTGCAAGGCTTCCTTGGACAATCCAAAACTAGTTACAGACAGACTGCTAAGAAACTTCTGCTCTCAACCTCTCCTTGTGATAGGCAGATGCATTAATCTTTTAGATTAACACGTCCTCTGCACTTCTGCCTGACTGCAAAGAAGAAAAAAAAAAAAAACCACCACAAAAAGGTGAAAAAACCAGTTCTGCTACGGAAGTCCTATCTGTGCTTTCATGAGGCTATAAGTTGTATCAACTTTATAAGTGGAAAATTTCTAATCTCCCTAGGCTAAGAAGTAAAATGCTTCATCTTATTTTCCCTTCCACTAATTAGGGACTTCTGGGTATTTCACTATCTGATTTCAAACCTTTGCTGGTTTGAGGCTAGGTTTATACATTATGGAATCACTTTTTTTGTCATAAAAGTCATACCTTAAAAAATAAGGCAAGAAACAGAAACATTCAACTTTGTATGGTTATAAACTGCAGTTTCCATTTTCTATCTAAGCATCTTTGCCTTTCGTATGTAAGAGTTCTAGGGTTTTGTTAGTGTTAAAAGTATTTCGGCAAATACCTTTACAAAGTATCTCTCTCTAAAAAAAGTACTGCTTAAACTTTAAAAAGTTTAAAAAGCAACTCATAGCTTTCATTAACAACGCATACAACATTTTAATTCTGAAAAAAAATTAATGCAGACTATAATGATACCTGTTAATATTCTGCAATGCCACAAACATCACTGGATGAAAATAAGGCTGTTTAAAAAAAAGATAAAAAATGTAGGATGGCATGACTTCTATACATAGCTTTACATTTTTACAACTGTACCCGTAAAACACTCATTTATAAATAGGTTTACTAAAAGCTTGTACCTTCTCAGCTGGATATACGTGCTGCTTCATGAACTGCTTGACCTTCAGCAGAATTTCTTGGCCTTTCCTACTTTGATGGAACAACTCTCCAGAAATGCTGTGATGTGTGCTGCTGAAAGATGACCTAAAGAACATTCAATGCAATAACAAGTAATAATATAAGCTGCTTTATACAGGCATTTAAATAAGTGAAGATGTTGTAAAATCTTTGACTTGCCTATGACCAGTAGTTTAGACCACTCTTACCTTTTTGAGAGCTCTAACCCTCTCTCTGCCAAAGGCTTCACAATCTTAGCAAATTCATGACTATTCTCTGCAGAAGCATTTCCAATGAGGTATCTAGCATATATACCCTAAACCCAAAAGAAAGGCATATATGGTATAATTATGCACTTTAAATTGTCTCTTTTTTTAGATTGGTGATTCCTTCAACTATGAAAGTAACACTTAAATGCACCTACTCTTAATAGGAAAAAATTAGCACCAGACAGATTTTACTGGAATATGTTAATATTGGTTATGGTCCATTTCTGATATAACGGAGACGCTTGGTGCATAAGAGAAAAACAGCATACCCCAGCTAAACTAAACTAAATGAAAATCACAAAAATTAGTAGAGAGAAAAGAAAAAAAAAAAGAAAAAAGAATACGTCTGCACATGATACTGCAAGCCAGCCCAGCTTGTTCCTTAAGCCAACTGGCAACAGTATACACATATGATTATTATCCACAATTACATCAACTACCCACATATATACTCTCACTCCAAATTAATACCAGGTAGCTTATCCCACATTTGATATGCTGATCTCATGCTGCAACTCATAAAAATATACTTCTGCCTTACAATGGCTGAATGTCTAATTAAACAGCTACTTCTGTTAACAATGAATCAATGAAACTTATTTTCTCCTATAATCACATCTCAAGATTGGCCTCCTATGCTCATAATAAGCTGAGTTCACAACACACCCTTTTTCATCCCTGCGTGGCACCAACAGGATCTTACTTATCTATCCTGCTATCTACTTTCATGAGAGCTGCAGAAACTTAGAAGGATCTTTGTTTCTCTGTAATACAGGATTTAAATTAGCCAGAGATACCAAAAAGGTAACAAGAAAATTGCCTGCATACTGGAACATCAATAAGAAAAAATCCACATATCCACATTTTCTTCTTTTTTAGCCTACTTTCCTAAGAAGTTAGTTATATCTAATGCAATGTACTTTATGCAGCGAGAGTTCTATCCTAGAGAGTTATCAGTCATAAGCATCTAAGATATAGCTTCTAAAGGAACAAACTGAAATACAATGGTTACAGTTATTTTTTAAATATGATTCATATTTTGAACAAGTATTACCAAACTACAAATACTCATAATAAAAATATGTGACATTTCCACAAATGTGAGTGTATTACCTGGGATATTGCTGCCATTTTAAAACATGACAAAGCAAGAAAAAAATTAAAGTTGGATAAAGTAGTGCTAATACCCCGGCAGCGGCAGTAAATGGAAACTAGTTCTTCAAATGAAGGAGTTTCTACAAAAAAACAACAGAATAGTTTAGAATAGTCAACATTTTCTATGGTTTTTTCCACCTTAATCTTCAAACATTTGTACAGCATTTCAGCTTTATGAGATATTCCATTTACACAGTGAAAGACATTTCTCATGACCTAAGTGTGTTATGGAGAGCCAAAAGGAAACAGGAGCTGTCAGAATTCCAGATAAGCGTAACACTTCCTACTGCTCCCTGCCTCCACTCCAGTCAGGACATTAATTGCGGGGGGGGGGCTTTTTTTTTTTTTTTTAATAAATGACAAATTTACATTTAAATTTTAGTTTTCTTCCATTATCTCTAAGAAAGGTTCAAAATAAACTTTTACAGAAGCAGCATACCGTGGCTAAGACACAGCTTATTAAAACAGGACTACCTTAAACCTCACTATCAGCATGTTTCCTACAATGAAGAAAACCATGGAAAAGTTCTTTTCAAGTGCCAAATGATGTGCTTATTAATTTAACTTTTATTATTGTTTATAAAGGCAACATATCAAATAGAAATCAACCCTAGAATTCGTTTCAACAAAAAGATTACAGTTGCATACCTACGGTGTCTTTGAAACCCAAGACGGTTCCTTGACCTAAGTCCTTAATAGATGTAGGCCAAAAGTAGAATAGAGTGGCATATGCTAAATCTGCTAAAGGATGACCGGCAGTTGAAAGTTCCCAGTCCAGCACTGCCAAAACACGAGCCTTGAATAAAAATAAAAACCTCAAATGAATGCTAGAAGATAAATTCTCTCCATTCACAAATGCACAACCCACTTAATATCCAACAGCTTTATTCGGTTACTATGTGTTTGAAATTAAAAACACACACTGTACCTGCCTACAGCAATACCAGTTCCTTTTAGCACTATGTAAGGATCTGAAGAAAATTAACATTCACACAGTGGCAGAAAAACAGGCATTTTTCCAACAAAAATCTGTTTTAAATTCTACATTTTTGAGTAGTGTTCTTCCGGTCAGAAACTTCTAAATTCTTCTAGTCAAAATATGATTGAATTACAATATCCTAAAGAACAGTAGTACTGACGGTTTGTTTTTGTTTCCAGTCCTGTTGCACAATCCTTTTGCACAGATACTCACGGACAGACCATGCACTAAAAAAACTAATTTATCACAATATTATGCATAGATTAACACTTATATGGGGAATTGAATTTCTTAAACAGGACAGTCAGTTACTGCCCAGATAGCGACACGAGCCTCTGCTGCAAGCATCCTTGCAATGGTGTTTTCAGCTAGATGGGCTGAGACTCCCCGAACTGTTGTTCTGATGAATTCTTATAATCCAACTAGCCTGTCATCCTGAACAACCCCTCCAGCCTACTCATGATCCATGGCTACTTGAACTATGTGCAAAAGACTTTCCTATGTGGTCATTCCTGCATATACAGGAATAGTTTCTACAGATTATGTACAATTTGGTCAATTCTTTCAACTACATCAGGAACAGCTGGGAGAGTCCCTGAGACTGCCAGATTCTCTGCTCAGGGAATGAATCAGCACATTTAAGCCTACAAACAGCATCTATCAACTGATCTATGCAAAACAATGGGAATCTCTGGGATCTCTTGCTTTGTTGTAAAGCAGGCATTGCAGTGTCTTGGTCACTGTTCTGGTTTCGGCTGGGATAGAGTTAATTTTCTTCCTAGTAGCTTGGATAGTGTTGTGTTTTGGATTTAGTATGAGAATAATGTTGATAACACACTGATGTTTTAGTTGTTGCTAAGTAGTGCTTACACTAAGTCAAGGACTTTTCAGCTTCCCATGCTCTGCCAGGTGCACAAGAAGCTGGGAGGGGGGACAGCCAAGACAGCTGATCCAAACTGGCCAAAGGGATATTCCATACCATAGACATTATGCTCAGTATATAAACTGGGGGTAGTTGGCCGGGGGGCAGCAATCGCTGCTCAGGGACTGGCTGGGCCCCGGTCAACAGCTGGGGAGCAGTTATATCACTTGTTTTTCCTGGGTTTTGTTCCTCTCTCTCTCGCGTGCACGCTGCTTTCCTTTTCATTACAATTTATTACGATTATGATTATTTTATTTTATTTCAATTATTAAACTGTTCTTATGTCAACCCATGAGTTTTCTCACTTTTGCTCTTCAGATTCTCTCCCTCATCCCACTGGGGCAGGGTGAGGGTGAGCGAGCAGCTGTGTGGTGCTTAGTTGCTGACTGAGGTTAAACCACGACAGTCACAAATTCCAGGCGTATCTTTTGGTCACAATACAGCAAATAGCATGGAAAAAGATAATGAAAATGCAATTGTGTCGATAGATAGGTAACACACATTTATTTCCACAAACTAGAAAAAAATCTTATCCTTTTCCCTAAAGATGAATGAGGAACTTTCAGGGTCTCTGTGATCTACATGTGCTCCATAACTAAGCAGCTTTGGCAGATTTTTCTTTGCTTCCACTAGTATCACATATCATGCATTCAGATCCTGTTCCAAAAGCCATTGTTGTTAATTGAAGCCATACCACAGATTTCAATGGGCTTTTGATCAGATGCTTATGTAGTTTAATGAAGTGAGCCTTCAGTATGTTCTTAAGTTGCACTGAATTCAGTAGGATTTATGCATATAAAATGTTTTGTCCCTGGACTTTGAAGTAGGGACTAGAGCTAATGAATAAATTGAGTAACTAGCTCCTGCAATGAAAACCAGGACTGTATTAGGCACCTAAACACCATACACAGAGTATAGAGAAGAATTAAGTTCTCTACTGTTTCTTTCAAAGATGTATCATGCACTAAAACACCTACATAAGTGTCCCATTACATGGTAGGAGTACAAACAAATGGAGAACCAAAAACTACTAAACGTGTACAAATATGTTTCGAATACCTCTGTTGGGTGGAAGATGATGTTATCTATTCTAAAGTCCCCGTGAATCAGGCCTTCTTCATTATCATCAGGTGGCAAGTTGTTTGCTAACCACTCAGACAGCTTGTTCATGGCAGGAATATCTGTATGAGCAGCTGCATCATACTGTCTTTTCCAAGTTGATACCTAAAGAAATACAAACACTTCAACAGCTTTTTCAACTGATTCACAAGTTTTTCAAGAACACAAAATTCTGAAGCACATGCTTCTGGGCTTTGACTATTACCATGTTACCTGTAAATACAGTAAAACCCAGTACCTGTGCATCCGCAAATGTGAACTGTGAGATCAAAAGATGCAATGAAGACCACCTCTATTTTCTGTTTCAATCCTATTTACATAGCCCAAATGTAATATTATTCCAAAAGCGAATGAATATAATTCCCTGAGTAGAGCATTACAGAATTGATCTGAATGTAGTAGTAACTTTATACTGTGCACTAATAATTGAACTAAGCAAAGATGTTTAATAGCTAAAATATGATGGTTACTTTTACAAGTCATTAATAATTAACAATTCAGCTTGCAAATCAAATAAATCTTCAAAGACCTGTCAAAACAAGAGAATTTTTTGAAGAGCTGTACCTGTCTTCTGCAGTATCCTGGTCCTCTACCATATCCTTGGAGACCCAATGACTGTAAATCAAAGGAGTGCAACAGGGCCAAAGTTTCTATCATTGCGATATACAAAGCAGAACGCTCTGCTGGGCCCACTTCAGGCAGTGAGAGGTCTCGAAAGATGCGACCCTAGAAACATCGTAAATCAGGTATTTGGTGGGATGTATGCATCAGATGAAGCTATACATTTCAGGAGCAAAAACAATTGCAGTGAACCAACACTCTCTACGCAATCAAAAACTCCTTCCTCATTTATTTTATTCCTTGCCCAGGACAGATGAAGGGATTCATAGTAATCCCAGATCATTAGTATACAGGATATCTATTGGAAGGCAATTAAACTAACAGATATATTCAGTAGATAAAAGTCTGAATTAGAGCACTCAATCCAGATATCCTCAAGCTTGAAAGTACCAGGAAAAAAAAAGTTATTGTATTGTCTCTAACAGCTAACTTCCATAAAAAATATCAATGAAGACCGGGGGCGGGAGAGGAAGGGAATGGGTGGGTTGTATGTACAAAGAGGCAAACGATCCAAAGAAATTCACTTGCATTCTCCTTAAAAGCAGTTTAATACGTTTAGATGATGGGTGTGTTCTTCCATTTTCTCCTTTAATTTCGACCCTGCCAGTAACAGATTGGAAAAGAAAAAACAGACTCTTCTCTCCTCCATGTTCCTCAATTTCACTGGTTCATATGATGGCTTCAACATATTTACACAGCTAACATCAACAGAACTTTTTTGCTGAAAGATTCTGCATAACAAATCTGGAAATCAGATTTTGTATTGTGTAATAGTTTATTCAACGATTGTTTTCTAAACACACAATGTATTTGTCAAAAACAGTGCACTGCTGTCCATCTTAGAATGGATAGACTGTAAATTTACATCCTCAGAAATGTAAATATATCAGTAGCACGGTTTCTTATTAAGAAATCGCTTTGTTCTAGTCAAAACCAGAAAAATTCTCCATCTTTAATAAGAAAATTGTTTCAAATTCTTCATAGCTTTTACATTTTATTACTCTTGATTCATGGTTTTTGTAGGAACGTTAACTTAATCTCCAGGAACTGGCCCACAAACTCTTACATTTCTAACTTCCCAGTGAACCTGATGATAGAGTAGGATGCAATGAAAGGGAAGAGGCCTGCATTCAAATTCTCCTCCCACAGGAAAAAAAAGACATGATACACCAGACTTACACTCAGAATCACCAAAATGTAACAGAAACAGTATCAACTCAGCTACAGCACCCCCAGAGTGATGGACCACAGACAGAGTTATGCCATGTTCTTTCTGAAACTAGTGCTTGAGCTGGAATCCTGCTTGGTTTTCAAGAAAAGGTGATTGTATGTAGATTCTATCTTCAGTACTAAACAGGTCCCAGGATGTCCAAAGATTTGGTATAACTTTATAATCTGATTGTTCTCCCTCTTACTTGTGTATGCTTTTCACAGAAGCAATATTGCCTCATTTCAAGACATCCTTCTGAGAGCTCAAAACAAGAACAACAGGTTAAATATTGAGCTGAAAATGTCAACAAAGTGGGAAATAAGTCCTGGAGAAGCTGAAATCGGTGAGAATCTCCGATACCTAGCATTTCTTAAAAATATCAGAGGATTATTTATGCTTTTATCACAAAACTTAGTAAATGCTGGATAAGGCTCTAACAGAAAGGTTTTAGACAATTTAAAGCACCTTGTAGTAGGGAGAAGCAAAAAATCTCTCACGCTGGAGGACCAACCTGCACATGCTGCATTACATAAAATTCTGTTCCAATGACAGAAACGTCACTGCAATACAACAGGGGCTCAGGCACTGGAAATCCAGCTGAAAATAAGGCTTTCTGCACACGATATTCTCTATTGACCTGAAAAAGACACAGAAATTTAGGTTCAATGAAAAGGTCCCAAACATAAATGAGTACAGTGAATGACAACGTATCCTCTTAAATGTTTAGTTACGTGTATAGCACATAACCAATGTGATGATCCACCAATTCACTGCATTTCTGGACACATTCAACAATGTGCCGCACCATCATGTATATGACTTAGCCACTTGCAATACAAAGTGTTTGGAGCTTGATGAAATGTGTTACTTACCTCGTGAGCTCTAGGTAAAAGGGGGCCATGGGGCTTCTTCCTGAGCACATAAGCCTGCCCACCCTTCCGAAGACAAAAGGTTGGATTTGACTGGCCTGAGCTACAAAGAGAAAGATTATAATTACTTACGAATTCAAGTACTTAAAAATTTACAAACTTTTAACAGAAATCATGCAAAACACACTGTGACTTGGCCTGAACAAAATGGCAAGACAGAGGAAGGGTTCTTCTCAAGAGGTGTTTTTTTTTTTCTCAAATAGTCTTACAAGGATGCAAGTGACAGCCTACAAAATCGGAAGTCAGAGGTGCTATTCCTACCTATATAGAAAAATGTCTTCTTTCACTGTGGAGAGGTCACAGATACTCAATTTGTTCTCCTGTGAAATGGAGATAGCATTTACCTCTCCTTCCTAAAGAGACATCATTAATGTTTTCAAGGCGTGCAGTAGATACTAACTTTAAAGCTTTCCGATTTGGAGGAAATTAAACGGAGCAGAATTCACACTAGCCCGTAATTGTATTTGTCCTTTGGCAAGCTGTATTTTGAACAATGTAAGCATAGAGAAAGCTCTCCAAATAACTGATGATTCTAGTACCAAGCCCCACTGTATGCTAGCCTGATCATCACATACATATGTGTCCTGGTTTCGGCTGGCATAGAGT